CACCTCAGGTCCTGCATCAGTCAAGTTCAGCCAATCCAATAAAGATAAGCATCTGCACATGTTCATCACAATAAGGACGTTTATGAACATGTTGAGGGCCATTCATGTTAACTTATCACTCTTCACCTTTACTAAAACACCTATTCATTTCATCGAGAAGGTTAAGTTCACGAGAAAACAAGAAAGCCCCTACAACAGTCAATGAAGGACAATTATAATTACAATGCCATGGCCGAAAGATGGTGCCATTTGGTTCGTTTTTTTGCATTCATGTCAGGGATCATGGATAACAAACAATCATCTCAAAGGGGAAGCAGAGTAGGTATGTTAAAGAAATCCTGACTCGTTGTGCTTAAACATTGCAAGGTAAGAATGCACCAGCAAGATTAACACATTTCTTTGAAATCTTTTCAGTTTCAATTCATTCCTACCGGACACAAAAAACTGAAATGTCTTCAGAGCCAAATCCTAATAAATGGTAGCGTATGCCTCTAGTGAATGCCACAGAACTGTATCGTTATTTGAAACCTTGAAAACATATAAAAGAGCCAAACTGTTGTGACATTTCTGTCAATACCGCCTTTCAAGTTAATAAAAAGCCACACGCATACAGCATGCGTCACACCTTGCTGATCACACAGAGTTCAACCAAAAGGCAGATGGATGCTGGAGCTTCTGTGTTTCGTATTAAGGTCCCTACGTAAGATTCAAGGGATCTCAAAATATTTGACCATTAACCAGAAATGTGTTTAAATATGTTCATTTTTTTATGTGACAGGAAAATCGCTGTGAACTATGAGGTATGAGGCAAAGACAGGAAAAATGTGTGTGTGTGTCTCACTGGTATGAAACAACATTGCATCACCTGGCATCTATTTTGCGGAACACAGGCGTATTAAGGCAGTTACACATGTCACAGCTGCAGCAGTTAAACTGCTCTCCTGGCTTACCTTGACTTTTTTTAATGATGGATAACAATAATCTGATAGCTTAAATGTGTCCCACGGGAAAAATGACTGCCAAATAAAGTCAGGTTGTGCTTTTAAACACCAATATGCACCAGACTTAGGTCTGCACGTCTTCCAGGATTGTAGACACTCATGCCAAACACATGCCAAGTGCTGATACTGAAACCTTTGCTCATAAATGTTTTTTGGAGGCATTAAGAAAGTGGGTTTTTCTCTAACAAGACGAGCACCACATGAAAAATCAGACATACCACAGCATACAGCCAAATCTGAGACCAAAGAAAACAACGACCATCGAAGCACAGGTACCTCTAACAAAACCCATACATCAGAGACCATACAGAGTTTCAAACAACAATGAATTTGAAGAACAAACATATTTTTGATAGAAGGAATGGCGCAGGTGTAGAAACACAAACAATGGCTCAACTCTATTCAATTGTCCCAGTATATAAAAGTGTAAGGCAGCATTAACACCAAGACTAATGGAATTCAGTAGGGATGCACAAAGATATCGACATGTCATTGGCATTGAAAGATAATAGGCTTTAAAATTAAGTGTCTTTTGCCAGAAATGAGCAATCCCACCGATACGACCGTCGGATAAACAACTATAAATAACGTGGTTTTATTTTTTCGACTATTGAAGGTGTACACCTTCAAAAGGTTGCCAGTGGGCCATCACAAAAACTGTGGACAATATTGGAATTCCATTGAAAAAAAAGAGACTTGACGTTGCAATTAGGTAGAGGAATTAGTTATCAAATAAACTAGACAACCAGAATTCAGCCATCAAATATTTCACCATAGACCCATGCGTTTTATTCAATGACAAGTCAAAATGCCTTAGTTGAAAAAGGCCCACTCTACAGTAGGTTGATGATGTGTTCCATAGTGTCTGTTAGTACACCTGTTTAGTGACACTTTGAGAAATGCCATTGTTTTTGTACCTTGTAGATGTTATGTTAGTCCTGCAAACACTAACTGCAAGTAGACTAGATCTTTAATGATCTCCAGATTGGCACTAATAACCACTACCATCAAGGTTCCATGGTACTTGGATATTTAAATGTGGCAACAAGTAGGAATGTTAACCGACACACCTTAAAAAAACAGCATCTTAAGCAGGTACTACCAGCGAAACTAGGTGCACATTATCACCATTAGCTCTCTCTCAACACCATAAGGCAGGTGTTCAACACTGGCAAGCTGCAAATAAGCGTAGTGTAGTGGTGAACAGTATGGAAAATATTAAGTGTTGTCATTTGAGTCAAGCGTAACCACAAACAGAATTAAATAGCCTTTTCCATATAAATGTGTCTGTGTATAACAGGCAGTAATGTGTCTCCAGGCTATTAGCAGTTACTGAGTGATGGGAGACATATTGAGAAACGACACTAAAAAGTGGTCACTGTGACATTGTTGTTGATGTTAAAGAAAAGAAAAAGCCTTCTTTTATTCATTGTTAACGGTCAACATCTGAGGAACTCTCTCCGAACACTATCAACCGACTCTATCTGCCATCTGGTTTTAGTTGGCTTGAAAAGAGAATACAGATGAGGAAGGGGGTTCTGATCCGACATATGGTGTGCACCTAGCCCCCTCCACCCACTTTTTCTTCACACAAACCCAACCCACAAGCTGTGACCTACTCCACACCCAGAACCAGGACGAGGACCCAGTGTGTTTAGTCTGTGTATAGTGTTGGGAATGTTACACCATGCATGCCAGATCATGAGGGCCTCTGCCTGGTTACAGCTGGCTAATGGACCACAGATCAGGGCTCACCAAGCACTAAGCCCAAGATCACATTTCATTGGATGCAGATGCCTGCTCGTGGATCTGGCGATTTATGGCAATGACATCATGAGCTCAAACTGCTGGAAGATGGTGGGTACTGTGCTTTTGATCTGGGTTGAGGGATTGGTGATCTGACATCACAAGCAATGCAGCCTACCAAATTGATTTAAATGATGACCCCTCATACAGTATAGGGAGTATGAAAAGACTTCTGTATTAGACTTTTAACATATTATCTACTTCTTCTTCTTCTTCTTAATCCATTACTTTAATTGTCATTCATTTCAGTTAATGAGTTTGCATAAGAAGAATACATAGCTAAAACTTAACATTTTAATTCTAACCTGTGGAGTTTGCAATGTTTGATGCAAGGCAAATGGTATGAAGTGTGTCCTAAATATCCAATAGTGGTGCTACAAGATAGGTGCCAATGAAATCTTGAAGGTTATTTCTATTGGTAGCTGGAACATACAGTACCGAGCAAATGTAATGTACATTTGCTCGCTTTTGAAGTGCAAGACAGACTGACTGACATGTAGATGCCCCAGGTTAGCAGGGCAGAAACCTGTTTGAAGTTGCATAATCTCTAAAGCATAGTCCGTCAATTGATGCCTTCCCAAATTTCCAACGTGTGCACTACTGTGCATTTGAGACACAGCTTAGAGCACCTCACTGTCAGAGCTCGATTAACATTCTCACATAAGGTCAAGAAGGTTAGACTGCCATTCATACTTCTGAAGAAAGTGGTAGTGCCGGAGTAGCAGCAAGGTGAGTGGATGGCTGATGCTGAGAAGTATGAAGACACTCAGACACAGGCACACCTTTTGAACCTCACAAAAGTCTTCCCAACAGCTGTTCTGCATAATGTGCTCCAGTGATACCCATCTCATAGGGCCAGAGGTTACAGTAAGCTATTTCTGACATATGGGAATCACATAACACAGCTGGGTATGGCTGACTGAAAGAATGGCCAACTTGAAGAATGAATGGACTAATGAATGAATGTATGGATTGGAAATGACAGACGCCTGACGCCTAAATTCAAGGAGCTACAGAGGTGAAGGCAGGCAACTGTGCCCAAAATCTTTCCCTCATGCACATTTCACTACACAGACAATTGCATCCACACTACTGTAGGTTCACAAAACTAACATGCTTTTTTTCTCCAGTGAGCCATTGGAGCCAATAAGATATTTTGGACAGTTTGGAGGATTTAAGGTCTATCCAGCAATTGACTTACTACCAGGCTGAATGGTGCATACTGCTGTCAACACACAGGCTTCAAAGTCAAATCAGAGCTGGGATTAAGGGTTGAATGGTCATTATATAAATGAAAGTAGTTCATCAAACCCGAGTGAAAGGAATTCTTCAAAAACAGACAGAAGGTGATTCATTGCAGTCATAAATATGACGGTAAATGTACAGCAGATCATGAGGTGGGTTCTCCTGTTCCCTCATGCACTTTTCTTTAGGTCTTTGTGATTTAGGCTACTTGAAAGTTGCTATATATAGACAACACTACTTAAAAAAAGCTTTCTCCCTAATGGGTACAACCACGATATATAAGGCCCTATAAAACATGTGTTTCGAGTTTACATTAAAAAGGTGTGTGAGCGTATATTGAAGAGCCGGCAGCAAGTTTGGCATTGACTGAAAAGTGCAATTACAGTCATTTTATCTTGGGAGTCAGAATTGGTTTATCTCGCCAAAATGTAATGAATGCTAAAAGTCTGAATTACCCAAAGTGCTTAAAATTATCTGCTCCTTCGTCCATTCACACAAACATTCACAGGTCTCCACACCGATGACATGCATGCTGTGGTTATTGGTGAACCTGCTCTACTGTACCTCCTGAGACAGAGTCCCACAGCACTACATTGTTTGATACAATCCACAAATGGCGAAAGAATAAACTCATTATCCTTTACAGTCTGTTTTTTCTCATATGAAGGTGTTGATTTATTGGGTTTGCACACGTCACACAATTACTAATGGGCGAGATGTATCAGGGGAAACCGAACAACAACAGGGGATCATCACAGCAGAACATACACATCTGTCTGTACATTGATATCCATTGAAAGTTTACACAAGGCTTTCACTCTCTGCCATCTACAGTAACTCAATGTAAACACAGTGAAAAGATTCAACAGGCAGGGTTCAATCAACACGCTCAGCAGTCTTATTCAAACTCTCAGCTGTTCCCTGCTCTCACATCTCTGTTTGGGTGAGCTTTGTGACTCAAGTGATGGCATGTGTGACGCTGTGGAATCCAGACACGACATGGTTGGGCGCCTGGCAGAGATCCAATCTGAGATCAACCTCAACAGGTCATCGTGGATTAAACAAGCTCAGAAACACGATGTACACGGCTATCACTGTATCAACAGCCCTGATAAAACAAAGGAGATCCAGACACTGAAAACACTGATGGGACAACAGAGCTGGCTGTGGAAAATGATGTTGTGATTTACTCAGTCTGCTTGGCAGAATGAAAGCATTCCATTGGATTTAATAACTGTAGATGAGTTTTGGCTTCACTTTCCACATGTGTTTTATGCAGAATAAAAAATTGTGTGTGCGTGATGTAATCAGCAAGTCAAATCATCTCTTTAGGGCCATGTAAAAAAACACATGTATCAATCAAGTGGTGTTTTCAATTCAATTTAAAAACATTAAATGTATTTAAATGGTTTTGCACCATTGGCCAGGGGTTTTTTGACAATGAAGGTGCCTACTCAAGGCGGTTCCTGGACGCAAATCAGGCATAAGGCATTTTACAATGTGAAGATTTGGGTGTTAATGTCTTCACATTTATGAGTGGACTTGTATCAGTAGGTTGGTCAGTTGAATAACGGTGGTGGCGAAGTCCATAGGAACTTGGCTTGGCAACTGGAAGGTCACCAGTTCAAGTCCCGGAAAGACCAAGTGCTACCGAGGTGTCCCTGAGCAAGGCACCGTTTCCTACACTGCTCCCCGGGCGCCGTACGTAATGGCAGCCCACTGCTCCTAACACTAGCATGGGTCAAATGCAGAGAAACCGTTTAGTTACATAGTTGTACTACGTAATGACAATAAGTTGAATCTTCTTATAAGTGAGCTGTAGTAACATGTTTTAATAGTGTTATTTTATTTTCCTTTGAGAAACTGTTAAACCAATTGAAAAAATAAAACGACCAATTGCCTTGCAGTTAAAAAAAAGCCTTATTGTTTCATTGTGGTCTGTATTTCGTCTTCACAGCTTGTCAAACAAACGATTCAATCTACACGTGTTTTGGGTTTGTTCACACATCAGAGTATTGGAATGAAAATATATAGAGTTAACAGCATCAATGTTGGACTAACGAAGCTGCTGAGTATTTGAGGGGTGGATGATGAGAAGTAGAAGATTTTCATCTGGACCCAAAATGCACTCAACCAAAGATGTAATGAACTCCAGCTGATCAAATATGACTCATCAGTGTGTTGGTGTGACAGGGTGTTAATGAGTATTCACAGTTGATATTGTGCATGCATTACATCTGGTATGAAACGGGGAATCACAGAATACAGAGAATGGTGAAGATAAGTACCATGTGGGTACTGCAGAGCAATAGTTGTCTTTACATAGCATTTGTAAATAACTACTATTTTCCACATGTACCTATAACTTAATGAACTTCCAACTCCTGTGGATATAGTTACGGAGATTTCTTGAGTTTAAGGGCAGCTAATTATCTAATAACAAAAAACACCCATCTTTTATCTGTTTTTGTGCTCTACCACTGCTAGCTAATTAATTTCCAGGCAGCTAGCTAAAAGTAATTTGGTTGTAAGTCACTTTACTTTAAAAGAAAGGCTGTGTGGCTTTAGTTTAAGTGTTTGTTGGGTTAGAAATGCAAAGTGTTTCATGAAATACTCCAAGTAACAATACCACCAATTGCGAATTTCTACTTAAATTAAAGCCTGGGACATTTTTGATGCCTTGAAACAAAGTACCACGTCTATTCTGCACTGATATTTAACTTCCAATAGTTAAAAGGCTCGGCAGGTGCAACACCACTCTTACCTGTCTGCAGCATCCCAGAGCCGGACTCTCCTCCAAACTCCCCCGGTGCATCGTCCGGTGAAGCGGTACTCGTGCTCATGAGCCCGAGGAGGCAAAGTGTCCATTTTAGCAACCTGCAGAACATCTTCACGCGCTAATTACCTTTGCAATTAAGAGTTTAAAACATGCAAGAAAGAGCACCAAAACGTGAAATGGAAATGAAAAATATATATAGAGAGGCTGTCATTAGTCCTCAAAAGTGAGGAACATTGTTTAAAGGCACTTTTTGTTCTTTAACTTGGACTAACTTGTCATCCTCTCCAGCTCTCCTCTCCTCAGACAGCAGCTTCTCTCCCCCTGCAGCAGCAGCTCATCACAGAAGCGCCAAACCAGCAAGCAGAGGCCCCGCCCCTTTCCTAAAATGCAAACCAATAACATCCTGCACGACCTCCGCCCATTTGTTTTAACGACTGTCTGACGCCTTAACGAAGTGTTGATTTTCAATTACAGAGATAGATCATTTTATTAAATGTCAAATAATTCGTTGGACCTTTCATCACTGCTGCAGATTAATGACTAATAAGGAATCACGTAATCTGCTGTGCTGACAGTGCTGAGTGATTCAACATGAAATTGCTCTTTATTTATGTATTTATTTAGTTGGTTATCAATTATTGTACATACTGGTTTAATTTGCAGAGGTTTATTGATAGGGATTGATTTGACATCTAATATTTAAAATAAGCACCTATAGTATACACGGTTTGCTTTTATCGCATGCAACGTCATCCGGATCATTCTGGATTACAAATTGTAACGTCGTTAATATTATATTCTCTCCTTTTCAACCTTCAAATATTGTTTATTTTATATAACAGATTAAGGTATACCCTGGGAAGGTTATTTTTGTATGTGTACTGTTTGAGTTTGCATAGAGCACAGGACTGCAGTATCAAACGTATCCAACGCTAAGCAAGTACATGTATACTTCCTAATATATCTCTACTTTAAGGGGTACTCCTGGAAACCAGCACAATGTATATCTGATGGATTAACCGTTAGATTTGTCATAATAGCACCAATTCCACATCATAATTACAAACACTTACACTTCAAACTATGTTACCTGTCTTGTACTGGACTGGACTGCATGTGGGTTTCTGATTTCATCTGCTTCAGTTCACCTCCAATTAGTCTCTTATTGAATCTTAACCTCATATTACTTTGGCAAAAAGCAATGGTAAAACATACATGTGGTCATTTTGCTCAATAATCTATCTGGCAGTTTAAATGTGAAACCTTATGTTCTAACTTTCATATTAAGTTATTTGCAATTGCTGCTACTTAAAAGTTGCCAGAAGCTACGTATAACAAGATTCAATCAGGAATATGGAGTATCAGATTTTGAAACTGGATTCAAATTCAATAAAATGCTTTGGAAACCCGACCCTAATCCCAAAACATGTCAATGCAATCTTCAGAGACTTCATGTTGCAATTTCATAATCATACCTCTTTATTCAAGGACTTATATTCATATAAAATCTATAGGTACAGTCAAAATGACTGTGGGAGAGACAGTCAAGTAACATATCAGGCAGCGAAGGATTCAGCCATTCCAGAATCTCTTTTCTGAGAAAGAGCCTTGTTTCCACTTTGGTGGTAATTAAATGTTATTCAAGCTCTCTTTTTTTGTCTTTACCTGAAACAGATACATTGAGTGTTTAGATAATCAGAAAATACAACAAGGAAACAAAGGGTACAAATCATGGACTGAATGAAGTCAAACAATTCCTCTTTTTTTTCTTTTTTTTGCACATGCACATTTTCATTTCAGAACATGCAATCCCGGACATGTCCAGAGGGGGCAGTCAAGAGTAAAACTGTAAGAGGACAACTTGGCACCCTGTTCATGTCACGCTCGTTGGAGGTCTGGAAATGTTGTTTTGAAAAATCTACTTTAGAGATGAACACCAATCTCTACTCCATTAGGCAACGTACAGCTTTTTTAAAAGACAACAAGCAATCTATTACGTTACCTTTACACATACCAGAGCCACGCCTACAGTTAGACCTTATTGCTTTAAAGTCTAAAACAGCTCCTTTTAGATGATCCATCAAATAGATTGCACACATATGGGACAACAGGAAGTTAGGGTTAGGGAAATAATTGGATCAAATCATGTTAGCAAATTATTTACATGTTCTTAAACTTGCTTAGATTCAACATGCACCAAGAGATGTAGACACCTAGAAGATCTAATCTGTATTTTGATTCAAAATACTGACAAATAATCTTTCTATAAATGTGAAAACATTTTAGTTTTTAAATAGCCACCCATAATCCCGTTTTGACAAAACCTTTTTCTTAAATCCTTTATTGCAACAAAATATATGTACTTGTTCTTTGACCAATTACTTCAATTTAATTTCTATTTATCTACCAATAAGTATTTTCATCAAAAGTCTGATATATCTCATGGGCAGTAAGACCCATTTTTTCACAAATGTTTAAAAACACACTATTGTTGGTATTGGTCTTTCATTGGATTAGTTGACAATAAGTCATGCCCAAAGGAAAGTGGGAAAGAGTGGAGCCAACATGTTGCAGAAAAGGGGGAAAAAGCTACATTTAAGCTCGGGTCTGGGGTTTCCTAAATGGCCGGTCAGCTCTTTACCTAGAACTCTAATCATACAGAAATGTTAGATTAGCTATCTGTTATTGACAGAATACCTCACACTAAACCATTGTATCAGTCAATATGTATCTGGTTTTCAAGCAAGTTTAAAACTGTTCAAAAATAATTTAAAAACACAACTTGATCCAGCAGTTTTATATTCTGGGTGTTTCTATCTGGGTAGGCTTCATGCAGTCAACTTGCCAACCTCTAAATGCCCTGTGATTCACATATATCAGCTTTGATGCCATTTGTGCCTCAGTGTGTGTCTGTCAGTTAACTGTACATCATATAATACATATACAATTTACAACTCTTCATACATAAATGTAAAATTTGGTCGCAGTCACACTAAAGCCTGAACCTGGAGATTCGAGACGGTAAAGCTACAGGGCAGATGAAGTGTCGTCTTGTTGCATAGCCCTATTTCAAGTCAACAGTCAGCGGCAACAACACAACTCTTTATTGTACCTGCGGATACACAGACAGGTAACCTCACCTAAAACCCTCAAACAATACTGCACTCAGGGGGGGGAAAGAGATAAGTATAAACCTGGACATTTGGGGAAATATGGCAGAAACAATGTATGCTTGAGGAGGCAAGTGTTGAGATTTGTTGATCAGAAATAAATAAAAAAATGGCACTTTTCTGCATTCAGAGACCATTTCTACCAACTGGCTGGCAGTATATTTGAAAGAGAAAGGCAAATGCTTACCACACACCCTTAAGCAAAAAGTACAGACACTATTTTTGACAAGTTCAAGACCCTGGCATGCATTACATTGCTTACTTTGGATCTGTAAATCAGACATACCTACCACAAGATTCAGTACAAAACATAATTGATATTTTTTTGCATTCGGTCCACTATACCAGATTAAAACTTTGTTCTCTACACTTTCCTCAGCCTTGTACACACTCACATCCTCTACTGTATATTCAAGTCCATCTGATCAGGCTGCATCTTAATACATCTTGGAAAACGAGGCACTTAGTAATCAGCCACATAACATCAGAAAAGAGTTATCTATTCCCTATGTGCACTCAAAAAATGTACATCTGGTACAATTTACAAAAACTGATTATGAAAACTGGGCTCTAATTCTAAATCCAACCTTTCACAATGTTACATTTTTTGTCACATTTTTCGGTGTGTCCCTTAGGTTTCATGGCAGAAGTTTAAGATTGACATAAATTGGTTCCATCTGGACAAAATTTGGTGATAACCCCAAGTAAAGGCTGATGAAAAAAAGATAATTTGGTGGAAGCATCAATATGATCAAGTTGTAACTCTTCTCTCACCGACATAGCAACCATAGACAACATTAAACATACAAAAATAAAACAGTGTTGTGAGCAGCCATGTTGATACCAGCTTTGAGGCATTCAGATCACTTCCGCTCAAAGAATGAGGATGGCGTTTTGTCTTCTGCTCCATCGCTGATTTTACTGGCCAAGGCAAAATACTTAAGGGTCTTCACAGGTGCTATAGTTTCAGTGCAAGTAAAGGGGGTAGAAAAAGTCATCAGTGTCTTTATTTCCTTAAAAGTTTGTTGTATAAAAAAGGAGAGTAACACTACAAAGCTGGAATGGTTTCTGATCCCCTGTTACAGCACTTTCCACTGGCTTTTTCCTCAAAGAGTTTCCTTTTGGATAAATCCGCCGGCTTCCTTAGTTAGAGCGCTGTACAACACTGATACGTTTCCACCACGTTAGCACCAGTCCTCGTCCTCCCTCTCCCTGAGACTCCCTCGGCTCCCAGCAGCAGACGCAGAGTTGACCCCGAGGGTGAAGTGGAACCCGTTGGGCACCCCCGAGCGACCCTGCGAGTTTGCCGCTGTGACGGACGCAGCGGCAGTTCCTTGTGAAGCTGAGGCTGTGGTGGAGGTGGAGGTGGAGGCTGCGTTTCGGGCAAAGCGTCCCCCTCCGTGGCTACTCACAGAGTCATGGAAGTCCTCTCCATGGGACGCCTGTTGAGGGGAGATCTGCGACTGCCGGTTTAGATTAGAGTCCGAACCGATGCGTGTGACGGGGATCGGGGACTCGTCGTGGCCCCAGTTTAACCGATCGTGCTCTGAAAGGCCGCGGCTGAAGCGAGTCTGGGGCCCCGCGGTGGCGGCGCTGGCACTGGGCTGGAAAGGCGAGGAGTTGGCGGTCTTGTAAGCCACGGCAGGACGAGGGGTGAGGGGGGTCTGAGGGAGCTGCCTGCGACCGCGGCCTGGAGTGCTCGAACCCGAGGGCAGCGGCACAGCTTTTACCCCACTGCTACCATGCTGAGGACACAAATGATATACAACACAATGATTCTGCAGGTCAATTGGAAGAACGTAAATCTAAAATGATCGGAAATATCCAAAGTGTGAAGGATAAGTACTGTACCTATGCAGGTGATCATGTACAAATGAAAACACCAAAATGAATATAATGAAGTATTCCTGCAAACAGATCCTAAACCTAAATCCTACAAATTGCCTGTTTCCGAGTTCCAAATTGGGGCTTTCATTGGAACAGTTTGGTTTGGTTTTATTCCGTCACAAAACAATATGTTGATACTTGAAGTGGACCTATCATGCTATATTTGAATAATATAGTGTAGGACCATACCTATATACTGTAAGGCATATTTATACTTTTTATTTTTCAAAATACCAAACAGATCATGCATTTTAGCCATTCCTCATTTCGCTCAATTTAACACTGTCTTTGCATGGGCTGATTCTGTGAGAACAGCACCATCTACAGGCCTGGCATATGTAATACAGTGTCTCCAGCGCTTTCCAACGGCAATGTCCGTGGCCGTCTCCTCCTGATTGGTGGAGTTGGCCCAATAGCCGTAGGGCCACTTCTGTGACGTCATAGAAGTGTTCAAATCTGGATCAGTCTGTATCAGATCCGTTGCAGCCCCTTTTTAAGAGATTTGGGTATGGAGGCAAATAGAGAGGGTTGTGTTTTCTGACACTTGGTGAGTTCCCTGGAACACCGGGGACACATATTCATGTATAAAAGACGTAAAAAAGTGCATTTTTCATGATAGGTCACCTTTAAATATATACAGTAGTATTACTTTGCATGCAAATAGAACAATAGAAGTCAATAGAATATGGGTTATGTATTATAAGCAAAGACGAAATAAAAAGAAGCTAAGAGTAACCCTTTAACTTCACAGTCAGTTTTTGCTTCAAATCCAATGTTTCACTGTCCAAAACAATCTTACAGACCAAAGGGTTGTGCACAAGCTAGCTGTCAATCACTAAGGAACATATAGCAGTAACTGACCTGTCTGAGCAGAGCAGCGTCCTGCCCCTCTCCGGGGGACGTGGATCTGCTGGGGCCGGCTGATTTGGTGTGACACTGCTCTCTGCTGCCGTAACGCTCACAGGAGTAGTAGCGCTGCTTCTCTCCTGCTGAGGAGTGATGCCTCCTCTCATGAGGCCGGCTGCGGTCACGCTCCCTCGCTCGCTCTCTGGACAAACCCTCCACTGAAGGGTCGGTGAACGAATCTGGAGGACGGCACCATCAAACAAAATCAGGGGAAGAGGGTAGAAAATACACTATATCTCATAATCTATGGCTGTATTCAGGGTCATTGTAGTATAGAAATAGTAGCTACAATTAAATTGTTAGTTTACGTGGAGGAAAACAACAACAAATTAAGAGGTTTTATATCATTTCTAATTACTATTAGATCTGGCCCGCCGGCATATTGCACGCACACTTTCACTCCATCCTGAGAGTTTCCTCAGCTCAGAGCCTGACCCCAAACATTGATGAACTTGCACTAGGGCTGCACGATATTGAAAATAACTGACATTGCGATATTTTTTTCCCCTGCGATATATATTGCGTTTTTTTTAACTATATTTAACCGGATGAAGGATTTTAGTCACAGACGTCTGGATCTTAACTGGTTCACTCATCATACCTTAAGTCATGATCACATGTCATGATAATGCAGGTTGCTTACCCTCAAATAAGGGGGTTCATCTGTGAATGAAGAAGAGTGGTGTCTAGAAGGGATCCAAGAGATTAAACGTATAACATTAAACTATAGGAAGCTTCATTATCACATTAGGGAATTAATGTCACTCCACTCAAGTACCCCTGACATGAGAGCCGCGAAAGTTTTCCTTTTGTAGCAAGCAGCAAAATAATTGTAAAATGACGTGTGAGTTAATTTACCTACTTAATATCGAACGCCCTAATAGAGAGGATCCTGACTGGCTGCATCACGGCCTGGTACGGTAGTTACACCCTCAACCGTAAGACTCCACAGAGGGTGGTGAAAACAGCACAGAACATCACCAGGACGGAGCTGCCATCCATGGAGGACCTTTACTCCCAGCGGCTC